GAAGCAGTGCACCTAATATATATGTAAAATAGCCTTTAATGAGTACATCTACCAGCAGTATTGAGGCATTGAGTTGAGTTTTATCTTTTCTGACATGCAATATCTCTAACCCCGGACTACATTCTTCACACAGCTACCTGTGGCCTCAAATCAGGCCGATTCTGGGCCATGTGCCAAAAATAGAAAACCACAAATAGAACCTTTCACAAACAATTTAGAAACCATTCCAGAAATAATCAATGATAGATGAATGCCCACAATCATCCTAGGATCTGAAGGTTTGTTGAAACAAAATAGTTTTATTGAACAATCCTGAACAATAGGAGATAGGAGCATCTCCAGGAGCCTCATGTTCCATAATTGGATTTTTAAAGATGAATTCAGGCATGCAGTAGCCTTCTCTTGGATGAGGATATTTACCTAAATCATTATGCAACTAGTCACTGGATTGGATTGGATTAGATTAGATTAATAGATGATTAGATGAGATTAGATGAGATTAGAACTTTGGAAGTAGTCTCCAAGATAAATTGAGGTAAGTCAAAGAAAAAGGGGACCTTATTTGTAAACTGCTGGTGGAAGTGTCCACTTTTTCCAAACAGGCTGAATACTACTGTGGCTCCTCTGTTCTATGCTGACCAGTTCCTTCAGATCTCCACTGCTCTGCCATCACATTTCATCTCTGGATTGGGTGAACATCTGACCCCTCTTATTCTGAATGTCAATTGGACCAAAATTACTTTGTGGAACCGGGACATATCACCTGCGGTAAATGACAGGAGGGTGGACAAGATTTCCTCAAGGGACAGGTTCTCTAAGAATTTAATCATGGTGCTATGCAGTCATCATCTGATCTTAAGCTTATACGCTCAGTTCTAATGACAGATTTAGCATGCTCTGATGCACAAATTTCATAGGAATAATTCTAGTATTTTGTGCAAAGTTTGCAAAAATTTAGAAAAAATTAGGGGTAAAAAAAAATCTCAAGCATACCCAGTGAAATGTGAGATACATTCAATGGCCATATGATAGTAGAGACTTTTGATGAAGAAATAATGACAAATAGAACTAAGTTCTGTATTTTGGTTGGAATTCTGAGTATTGCAGTATCACATTGGAAGATTTGGTGACAGATCTTACCTGGGCATTCTACTATTTAATCAGCTTTAAACTGCAATTCCTCCTTCCCATGGGAACTGTAGTTTTCTGCAATGCTTTTGAGACCTCTGGAGAGCATTTTCAGCATCTCATTTACCTATGAAACCCCACATTCTTGGCAAGAACCATGGCAGATATAATCCTGTAGTGGAGATTGGCTCTGTCTGTGGAAGTCTGGGAAACCAAGTCAAAAGCTTGCTTGATCCATTGCTTGATAGACTTTTTAAGTTGTCATTTAATTGACACTTGAATTTTAAAAAAAATAGTGAAAAAGGACCATCATGGAAAAAGTGTTTGCTATTTGAGACGACTAAAGAGGTGCTAAAGCCCAAGACATTGCTGAAGTGTTCCTGTTGTCCAATACAACCTTGATCCTATGCGATATTATTTTGTGTTTTTAGCCCTCTGCCAATTTGTATGGTTCACACCCCTTCTATGTGGCTTTAGAAAAGGATGGCTTGGCCCACGGAGTCTTCCTACTGAACAGCAATGCTATGGGTAGGTATTGTATCAGATGACATCCCTCATGGGCCAAACTTAGATATGATTAAAGTAACCTAATGATGATTTCTGTGTGTCCAAGTCGTGTGTATTTGAAGGAGCCATTTTGTGATTTGAAGGAGTGGAGATTCTGACTTTGTCTTATAATTTTTATTTTTATTTATGAAGTGAGTTGGGTTGAGAAAGAGTGACTGGCCCAAGATCACCCAGCTGGCTTTCACGGCTAAGGCTAAGGCAGGACTTGAACTCACACTCTCCTGGTTTCTAGCCTGGTCCCTTAATCACTAAACCAAACTGGTCTGCTAATCAAAGCGGTCTACTAATTAAGGTTTGGATCCTGTAATTGCTTTTCAGCCTCAGCAGTTTAGCTTGTTCTATTAACTGCTATTTTGTGATTACTTTCACTGTATAATAGCGTAACCCTGACTATTTATATTGAGAATTAAGACCCTTCATAATGCTAATTGCACTAAGATTCCGATCTGGAAAATGCTATTTAAGTTTCCTTTTCTTTCCTCAATATTAAGCATCTGCTAAGTGTTAAAGAACAATATTTGTACCTCTTTCTATTAAAGGGAACTGGCTTTAATGTGGGCAACAGTCTCATTGTCAGCATAGAGCAGACATGTCAAACACAAGGCCCGGGGGCTGGATGCAGCCCACGAAGTGGTTTCATGTGGCCCGCAAAGCCATCCTGGAAACAGTGAGGGAACGGCCCCCGCTGCCTTGGCCCTGGCCCAGGCCAGCCAGGTGCCAATGTACAGTTTTGTGGTGACCATCTTGGCACTTGCCCCGGTCCCACCCCCTTCTGCCAGAGACCCTCAGATCTGTCCCACTCCTGCCCAGGCCCCCATAGGCACCCTTGACGCGAATGATGTAGAACTGGCCACGCCCACCCATTAGGCCACACCCACTCCATCCACGCCCAACCAGTAGGCTGCACCCACTCTGGCCACACCCACCTGCCCCCTCCAGGGCAACCGCAATGCTGATGCAGCCCTCAGTGAAATTGAGTTTGACACCCCTGGCATAGAGGCAAGAGTAGCCATTAAGCAGCAAACCAAGGCTGAGTGTCTGATAATGAAATATGATGGCTGTATGGAGGTTGTAGGAGTAAAATCCTGTCAGTGTCTCTGTAATGTGTGGATGGTGTACTGTGTCCTTCTAGTAGTGATTCCAAGCCACTGTTTGTCTTGTAGATGTGTTACTGCAGCCCAGTCCAGCGCTGACATGGAGAACTACTGGGGGTATCTTGGATTTCTATATCTTCTTGGGCCCAGACCCAAGCAGTGTGGTGCGCCAGTACATGGATGTTATTGGTAAGCATTTGTACCTTTCCATGTGTGAAGCGAGACTTAAGCCTATTTTATCTGTTCTTTGTACATTTTTTTAAAAAATCACTTTATCTATGAAGAGTCTAAATCACAGGGTCTGTAATGATATTTTTCTGTCTTTTTCTACTTCATATCCCAACTTAGTTTAGGTATTAGAAGCAACCCTTTATACACCAAAGCTGCAACCCAAAACAGAGTCTTAGATATAAGCATAACCTTTAAAATAGTTATGGTAGGTTGGGTTTAGGGTTGAAAGGTCCAGACATATTGTATTTTATTGAAACTCTTTTTCTATGAGAGATTTGAGAGTGCTGATGGTTTTGAGAGGTTTTGAATGTTGATTCTCTCTCTC